GGTGAGTCTAAACATAAATTATTACAAGAAGTAAAGGCATCTTTTTTAGACATATAAAAATAAAACTTTTCTTTTTAGATGCCTTAGTGGGGGTTGTACCGACGGCTTCAAGATTAGCAACTTTATTAGTTAGGTCCTCACAATGTTTGCACATGGTTTCCATTTTAACAAGCAAACTTTTATAAGCATCTTGTGATCTAACTAACTTTTCTTTTAATTTTTCATTTTTCTTTACAAGTTGCTCATCATTGATTGTGCATGCATTTGTTGTTGCATTAGCCTCAAGTTGCTCAATTTTAGTAGATAGTTCAATATTGAGATTAACAAAATTCTCATATTGTTCAAGCAAAGTTTTATATGCTTCTTATGAACTATCTAGCTTTTCTTTTAATTTTTTGAGTCTCTTTTGTTGACTAGTGCAAATTTTAGCATAATTAAGATTTTGTTGCACAATTTCATCATAAGAAGGCATTTCATCATCACTATCACTCTCACTAGAGGATGAGCTTTCGTTACCTCGTACCATAAGGCACATACGAGAAGAGCTTGATGATGAGTGCTTGCGGTCTCGCCTCTTGTGATGGTATTTTTCTTCACTTAAAGAATCATTTCATGACCTTATTGATGTCAGGACTTGGTTCTTGCATGCCATCTTCTTTGTCTTGGGTGTGGGCTTGTTTGGACAAACTTTCACAAAGTGTCCCAACTCGCCGCATCCATAGCATCCTTTCTTTCTTTGCTCATTTCTTTGATTGGTGAAAATGAGATCTTAAATTTGGATGGGCACACCCTTGACATTGAGCCTTTGGATCATCTTCTCCACCTTGTTGATTAGTTTGATTGATTTTTTATCAAGATCGGAGGTGGAGGAGGAAGATTGATCATCATCACTTAAATCTTCATCTTCATCATCATCATCATCATCATCCTCATCTTCTTCTTCATCTTCACTTGAGGAGCTTGAGCTTGAGCTTGAGTTTGTCCCAACTTGCTTGCCCTTCATCTTCTTTTTCTCGCTACATGCGAGAGCTTTGCCTTTGCTTGATGAAGAGGCTTCTTCTTGACCCATCTTACGTGATATTTCAAATGCCACTATCTTGCCAATGACTATGCTCGGGGTCATGGTGCTCAAGTCCTCCATGTTGTGAAGGATGGTGATGATGCTTGCATATTTCTTTTGTGGTAGCATGGAGATCTTCCTCACGATGTCCGCATCATCTAGCTTTGTTAATCTTATTGAATAGAGCTCATTGACAATTAGATTGAAACAAGAATACATATCACAAACAAGCTCATCATCATTCATTGTAAAGGAATTAAAATTTTGTTTAGTTAGACAATGTTTTTGCTCACGAACATTAGATGTGCCGTCATAGAGCTCTTGAAGTTTTAACCAAATTTCATGTGCCGTATTTAAAGTGAATACTTGGTTAAACACGTCAACGCTAAATGATTCAAATAAGCAATTCTTAGCTCTAGCATTGCAATGCATTTCCTTTTCTTCACTATTTGTGGGTTTATCGGAATTCTTAATGGGTTTCATCCCGTCACGAGTGACTCTCCAAACACCCAAATCAATCGCCTCAAAGTGACAATCCATTCTAGCTTTATAATAGGGAAAGTTAGTACCGTCAAAGTGCGGAGGCCTAGAGCTATCCATCCCAACCACTCTAAATAGCGTCGGCTCAACGACGGTTAAGCCAAAGGTTCAAATTGAGCCAACCGGCTCTGATACCACTTGTAGGGGACCGTGACGCCTAAGAGGGGGGGAATTAGGCAACTTAAAATTCTACTTCTAAACTATGACCTCTTTTACTATCCCTAGTAAAACCTATGCAATAGATAAACTATCTAAAGGTGCAACTATGGTTTTACTAGTGTATTGCTATCTCTACCGCAAAAGGAGTAATACAATCAATGTAGATGCGGAAGCTAAAGAGCAAGGTAGAGATATGCAAACTCCCATCGACGACTCCGGTATTTTACCGAGGTATCGAGAAGCACGCAAGCTTACCCATAGTCCTCGTTGGAGCCCCTCGTAAGGAATCCCTTGTAAGGGCCAATCTCCCGGTCGGGTAACTTCATGGATAGTCTCGGGCTTTCCCCACGCGCAAATGGGTCTCCGACGTGCCTGATCGGACGCGCAAGTGGGTCTCCCACGTCCCGGTCGGGTAACTTCATTGGAGCTGCGATCAACTGATCGGACGCTGCCAGCGTCCGGTCACTTGCCACCGGACTTGTCCGGTCGCAATTTCGCTGCTCTGGAACCTCTCTGTACTCGACCAGACTCTGTTGTCCTGCGTCCGGTCGATTTGCTCGTTTAGCGTCCGGTCGCTGCTGCTGTCGAGCCTCTTGATCGGGGCGTCCGGTCACTGTGTTACCAGCGTCCGGTCAAGCGATCACTTCTGTGAGCTCGTTTCTTTGCGATCTTGCGTCCGGCTTGGTTCCTATCTTCGTGCTTGGACTTTGCTTGATATCTTGGGTCTTCTATTATGCTCCTAGGGTCTTGCTTATGGTGTTGATCATTAGATCATCACGTCGCCTTTGTCCAAGTCACGTCTTGCACCCTATTGGACTATAAAAACAATCACATAGAAATTCATTAGTCCAATTTGGTTATGTTGGTCATCAAACACCAAAATCCAATGTAAATGGGCCTAGGGTCCATTTTCCTTACAGAACCAAAGTTAGGCTCGCAACAATCTCCGTCTGACCGTCTCCTCTTCCCCAATGTTTGATGGCCGATGCAACCCATCAAGGCCCACGACGTACCTTTCTAGGTAGGCCCATGAGGCCTTAGCCCTCTCCCTCTCGCAGTCTCCCCTCTCCCATGACCTGTCTGACTCCCTCTAGCCTCTCTCCCTCTCCCATCCAACTCCCCATCCCAAACCCTAAATCCAGTTGGCGATGACTCGACTGTGAGGTGTTCTAGCGAGCGTAGAAGCGGCGGCGGGCAAGGCGAAGCGTGGACAAGCGACTACTATGAGCTGCGGCAGCACGGGTGCGGCACGAGGCAGAGGCGTGCTCGGTGGCTATGCGGCACGGCTGCTCCATGGCATGACGGGCGACGGCGGTGGCGCATCACGGATGCGAGTAGGCGGCGGCGGTCTGTACGAGTGGAAGGTGGAGCGGCAGTGCATCTGCTACTCCAGGTGAAGCTCCGCGCATTGTGGATGCGAGTATATGTGGCCAACTGGTCGGCCCGACCCGGCACGCCGTGCCTCCCGTGCTGTGCCTCATAGGGCCACGGGCCTAGCCTTCGGCCCAGGCACGGCCCTATGGGCCAATTTTCGTGTCGGGCCGGCCCTAGAAGCACGACCATTTTCACAGGCCATGCTAGCCCAAGGCCCACTCAGTCGCCGGGAGCAGGCAGGGTCACCGTCGCAGGGACGCAGGGGTCGCGGAGGAGCGGCGGGGGCTCGAGGCCAGCCACCGTGCGGGGGGCCTTGGGGGAGGAGGTGGCCGTCGGATCTGCATCGGGGCGGAGCTCGGGGCCGGCGCGCTCGCTCCCACAGTGGCGTCGCTTGAGGAGAGGGAGGGGCAGGGGCCGTCGGCATTCGCGCTCGGCCATCGGCGCTGCGAGGAGAGGAGAGGTCGCGCGAGGAGCCAAGGACACCGAGGAGAGGGAGGAGGCATCTTGGACTCCCGGTCCCGCGTCCGTTCTCGCTCGCCTCGCCCGACGCGAGGGAAGGGGAGGGGCCGTCCGCGGCGCCGGCTCTAGGGTTTGGGGTGAGGGAGAGGGAGAGCCGCCACGGGCATGAGGAAAGGGGAGGGGGCGGGCGTCCGCGGCGCCGGCTCTAGGGTGAGGGGTGAGGGAGAGGGTGAGCCGCCGCAGGCGTGAGGGAAAGGGAGGGGGCGTCCGTCCCCGGCGCCGGCTCTAGGGTTCGAGGTGAGGGAGAGGGAGAGCCACCGCTAGAGGAGAGCCGCCCTGCGCCGGGGAAGAGGGGAGAGGGAAGCGCAAGCCGCGAGGTGAGGATTTAGGTTTCGGGGACGGGGGCTCGAGGCCAGCCACCGCGTGGGGGCCTTGGGGGATGAGGGCGGTTGTCGGCGGGCTCGAGGTTGGCGCGTGCGCCGCGGCCGCGTGGGGAGGCGAGGAGGTGGTGGCCGCCGGGGCTGGGAGGCGGCCGCGTGGGGAGGCGAGGAGGAGGTGATAGGGTTCGGGCGTGGAGAGCGGAGCAGACGAGGAGGCGACTGGACTGCGGTCCATGCGGGGGCGGGGCGCGACACGGGGAGGCTGTGGCTGCAGGTCGGGCCGCTAGCGGGCCGGCTACTCTGTAGCAGGCCGTGCCGTGCTGGCCCACGTGCCTAGGGTAAGGCCGTGCCAGCCCGGGCCCGCTAGCCTCCGTGTCGGGCTATGCTTGGGCCGGGCCAAAAAAACGGGCCTTGGGCCGGGCCGACAGGCTCGGGCTGCATGGCCAACTATGGATGCGAGCGACTGTGAGGCACTAGGGGTAGGCTCGGCTTTCTCGGTTTAAACCAAAAAACCAAAGTAAGAAACTGAAACCGAAATAGACGGTGTTGCATTCTCTAATTAACCGATTGGCTTCTCATTATTAAAAACCAAACTTTTGAGGAACCGAATAAACCGAACCGAATTATCGGTTTAAACCGAATGTGCAGCCTGATAGGCTGGTCAGGTCCGCGGGCCCAGGAAGATGCGCTTCCAGCTGGCCCGAAGCTAGGCAGACAACATTACCGTTCTTGTAATCCTGTACGCCTACTGCTGTCGATCTGTTTGATGACGCGAGAACGATGCAAAGCCTACATACGTCTGCGGTATTCATACGGAGACATGAGAGTGAGACGATCTGTGCCGAGTGCTGACGCACACGTACGGTGGTGCACCGTGCACGGCGGCCATCGTCCAACTAAACTAGATGAGCGATGGTTTATTTACAAAAAAAAGAAGAAGCCAAAATCAAACACGAGAGGCTAGTGCTGACTGCAAACTACTAGCTTAGCTACTGTATCACAATGCTCGTTTCTCCTTGCTGTCTTCTTCAAATCTTGGAGATCTTGTCGGCGACCACGACCGGGTTGTTCTTGGCGATCAGCTCGCGGCCGGCGCGCTTGTAGTCGAAGCCGCAGGCGTGCTTCTCCGCGTACCGGTGCGCGCCGCAGAAGGTCTCCCCGCAGCAGCACCGGAACCCCAGCAGGCCCACCTTCTTGCGGCACGCCGAGCATCGGTTCGCCGCCGGCTTCGGGGGACCCACCGTCTGCGGCTCCGTGGACGATGGCTGGGCCGCGGCTGCATCGGCGCCGCCGTCAGGGGACGACATCGACGACGCGACGGCGGCGGTGGCGCACGCGATCTTGGCCTTCTTCTCCGCCGGAGCCGGCGTCTCGAAAACATCCTGCGTCTTCTTCTCAGCGGTGGTGGTAGTGGTAGACGTCGCCGTGGCGCCGGCGGCGTGCTCGCGGTAGCACTTGGAGCACATGCCGCCGGTCGCGGCGTTGCCGAAGAACCCGCACCCGTTCGCGCACATGGCGGCGGGCGCGTGGCCGCCGCAGTCCTCGACGACGTCGATGCTCTTCCGCTTCTGCGCCATGGCTAGCGTAGCGTGCCGGTCGATCGGCGACGTCTGTCGCTTGTACGCTGTGGCCGACAACGTTGTGGGCGACGGCGATGGGGGGCGAGATTGCTCGCGTCGAGCTTGGCTTTGTGTCGGGGTTGCTCGATCGGGTTATATGCAGGCGACGGGGGCGTGGCCGGTTGTGAGTTTTCTCCCGTTCGGATCAATAGTCCATTCGTGACACGGAAGCGGATACGGTGTACCGTGTACGATGCATGTAGGATTTGCTGGAACACGTCCCCCTTTCCTAATGTCACGCGATCGCGTGCTATTTTGAGCCAGGAATCCTTGCCCGTTAGATACAATCCTATTTAAGTACATGTTACTAACCTACAATTAACCGGCCAGGATCACAGGTTAACAAAATAAATCATACACAATATTTCTAACACCGTCCCTTGATCACAACTTATCTATGAGTATCAATGTGAAGCCGGTGGGCTAGTCAGTGCCCTACCACCGTGTGTTTGGTTTCAAGACGGGATGTAAGCGATCCTAGATTCAAAGGCGTTTGGATAGGAGTCGGGGTGGGGGTGGGGGTGGGGGTCGATAAGGTCATCCCCATAGAGAAATATTCCTTTAATATTTGTATGTCCCTCAAAATGGAGGCAAGCAAACTCGTCCGGACTCATGGACAACGACAGGGAGAACCATGAGTCCCATCAACAGTGGGAAATCTCAATAGCCATGAAGCGCCGGTGGAGATGAAGGGTAGCGCATGGGCAAACGAGCATATATATTTCCTCGGATTTTTCTTGAAATTTCAAGGTTCATGGCCCTGGTTGGTTGATGGTCAAAATTAAGTCAAGCTAAGTTTTTTGCTGACATTTTGCGAATTGGAAAGACCTAAAATCGAGTTCAATATAGAATTCGAGGAAGTAGAGTTTATTAGAAAAATCCATTTGCGAATTAGAGAAGGACAAGAACAAAGTTCAAGTATAATCCTATTTAAGAATATCATTCTGTTAATCATATCAAGCTATCTTTATGTTTATGAAATTCAAATATATTTTTTCTAAGTGTAACTTCCAATTTCGAATTAATTAGTTAATAACTAAATTTTTAATAATTAAGATGCTGCACTTTACATATTTCCTATATATTTTTATTTGATACAATCTTTCTGAGGGTCATCGTTGAATTCTGATAGTTGAAGCAAAAATAAATAAATAATATATATACAAAATTTGAGAGGTTGATGAAATTCTATTTTTTCTATTACTTTAGTAGATTTTACTTTGTTACCCTTTAGTTTGAATTTCGTTGCATTCTGTAATGTAAATTTCAATGAAATAGGAAACGAGTCTTTTGAAGGAAATACACGGTTGTTGAGTTTTATTGGGACTCACTAGAAAAAAGTAATACCGTTATAGGAAATCCGTCTACAAGAAAAACATAAATTGTGATTTCATTACGGTCCCAACAAATATTATTAAATACGTACGTGTCGCTGGAAAAACAAAACAGCAGCGCTGGCGCCGGAAATCCGGACAGAACCCCTTCGCGTCCGTGACGCCCGCCTCCAGCGCCTGCTGCAAGCACAGGCGGGACCCGCCCGCGCCACTCACCCACGCGTCCCTGCTTTCCGCGCCACTCCACGTCTGTTGCGCCGCTTCCCTACATGCACAGCGTCCCAGTAGTTGCAGCAGGCACCTGCGGCGAGTGGCTCACATTACAACATACATACTTTTAAAACATCAAAATGAAACAATTACAATATGCGTATGTAGAACTGAAACATTCGAAACATGCGCCTAAAACATATGCAAAAACACATGAAAACACTTGAAAAACAGTTGCAAACACATGCAACATCCAGAGAAAACACTTGCAACATATGTGTGAAATATATGCAACACATCTAGATAAACACACCTGCAACATACGTCTAAAAAACAGATGAAACATTGGGAACATACACTTGAACATACGTGTACAATCATTGCAACATATGCAACATCCCAATATACTTTTGCAACATCCGCGTGAAAAACTTGAAACATACCTACGAAATATCTGAAACACTTGAAACATACGCTTGCAACATGGGAGCTCGGGGCCGGGCGATTCGAGCCGTCGGGGTCGGAGCCGGCGCCACGCGAGCACCACCACCACCGCGATAGCTAGCAGCAATGGGCTTGGCTCGGTCGGGCGGGCGGCGCGCGCGACGGCGCGGAGCGAGCGGTGCGGGATGGGCGAGTGCGACGGACGGGAGCGTGAGCTGCGCAGGATGGGCGCGCGGCAGCAGCGAGGCAGAGTTGCGTTCGGCGTCCGGATGGGAAGGTAGTGGCTGGAGAAGGCTGCCGCGTTGGAGAAGGCCAGCGGTGGGCGGATGGCGCGGTGGATGCGCCCGTGGCAATCGCATGCGTGCGGCACTGGGGAGGAAATGTCGCTATGTTTTTTTATTTTTTTTAGAGAAACCGCATCGTACTGAAGGTTAAGCGGAGGAGGCCTGTTGAGCCCGATTAACCTGGCTGTGTTGCTAGGTGGGTTTAGATGATACAAAGTACCTGCAAAACATAGCCCAATACGAAACTAGGCTGGATAGGGTCCTTTGTTGTTATCAATCCTGAACTCTTCCTAATTTCGGCCCAGGTCGTCCATCCCTTGTTAATAGTCCCTTTTTCTGCTAAAAAAAATAGTAGTTCCCCCTTTTATACGGAAAAAGATATTTTATTTCTCAAACCCACAGTGCTTATACTGGCAGCGGCGAAACTTTGCTTTCTTGTAAGACCCCGACCCCCCCACCCCGCACACACACACAAAATTTCTATCCCTCTTCCCGAATCTTTTGTTTCTCCTGCTTCACAATTGTCGACTTGTCTCGATGTTCGTTTTTCTTGTTTTTCCCCGACTAGCCAACATACTTGTACTTTACGATGAGACTGTACGACTTATTACCTAGTGATATTAGTGTTATGGAGAATTTTTTTAAACTATTTTTAAATCTGACATTGATTTTTTTTTCAAATCAAACACTTTTATCCGCGCCTATTCGCATGGCATGGCGAAGGCGAATTACGCCGCGCGCCGCCATGCATAGGGGCGATGAGGGAGCGATGACGTGGCGTGACCAGGTCATTGAATGTTGATGTGGCGGAGTCGCCACCGTGGATTTAAGGCGGCGGCGACGCGCGCCATGGAGAATGGCGCGGCAAGGTGGCGATCGATGCGCTGTCCGTCTGGTCAGTCGTTCCAACCTGTCCGACAGCAGCAGCGCGAAGGGAGAGTGCGACAACGAAACGAAGCTGCGCGTGGCGACGGGCCTGTTCGGTAGGACTGAAAAATACTGTTCCGGCTGATTATTGTGAGAGAAAAATATTATTGTGGCGTGAACAATAATTTCGTGAGGGGGCTGAGCCAGCCAGCCGAACACTGCCGACGTGTGCCAGTGCCAGTACTACCCGTGGCTGTGCAGGTGCTGTGTCGTCGCCACAGGCCACGGCTAGCTGCCTGTTGACTCTGGAAGGACCTGCGATGATGAGACAAGATCACGAGACCGTGACCCGTCACCATCCTCAAAAGTCCAGGCGGCAAGTGCGCCACTGCGCTGTGCAGGAAGACGGGTGGTGCTCAACTGTTTTTTTTTATCTTGTGACTAAAGTTTAGGACGTGTCACGTAGAGGTATTGAATAGGTGTTTGGATGTTAATAAAAAAATAAATTATAGAATTTATCAGTAATCCGCAAGACGAATTTATTAAGCCTGATTAATCTGTCATTAGAACAGGTTACTGTAGCACCACATTGTCAAATCATGAACTAATTAGGCTTTAAAGATTCGTCTCGCAAATTAGTCGTAAACTGTGCATTTAGTTTCGTAAATAGTTTATATTTAATACTCCATGCATATGTCTAAATATTCGATAAGACAACGACTAAAATTTAGGAGGTAGAACTAAACACCCCCCTAAGACTAGTGCGTGTGATTTGCTTCAGCCTCCAGCCACGATTTTTCGCTAGTTTTCGTTCCATTGCTCACATGGAGTAGAATTTATTATTTACATGAAAAAAAATCTTGCGAATGTACTGCGGTGGAGTACCTTGTAGATGGTCTCCTTGCAATTCAACCGAATTGATCGCCAGCATGACATAGCATCTCATTTTAGGTCCAGACAGGTAATTGTTCCGTTCGCTTAGCTGATAAGCCATGACTGAAAATACTATTACATAATTTATTATGAAAGAAAAATAATATTCGTTAGCTTAAAAAAATACGACTTATAAACAAAACGAACAAGACCAATGTCTATACATGCATCGTCACGGGATGTGCAAGTGCAACTAACCCATCTACAAAAACGTCGGCAGGATGTGCCGTACAGGTGATTAGTTTTTTTTTAACGGTGGTTAGACTACCATATGTTAATTAGTGTACCCAAGCACCTAGCTGTTGAAAAAAGGATGCCTACCCTGATAAAGGTGTTGAAACTGGAAAATGAAGAAGTTTCACCCGTCGATCATGCACACCAAATTCTGCAAGAGCCAAAGAAGGGACAAAACTTTACCTTTATGTCTTTACGCAAGGGCAAGGACGCTTATAAGTTGCCGCCGTCTCAATTCACTGTCATCACCAGGCGGCCTTTAGGTAAGCAAATTACTAGCAAAAGCCATATCAAGCATGTGGCGCCCGGCTTAATAAATTCGTCTCACAGATTACTAATGGATTATATAATTTGTTTTTTTATTAGTTTCCGAATACTTCATGCGATGCCTCTATGTGACACCTCATAGACTTTAGTCACCGGATCCAAACAGTTGAGCACCACCCGTCTTCCTGCACGGCGCAGTGGCGCACTTGCTGCCTCGACTTTTGGGTCAGACTGGGCACATTTTCACCGAAAACCGAAGACCGAACCGCACCGAACCGAACCGAAATTTCGGTTTTTTCGGTTTTCGGTTTCGGTTTTAAGTTCAGTGAACTTCGGTGTTCGGCCTCGGTTTCGGTTTCTGGGTGCCACCGAACCGAAACACCAA